AAAATCAAATATGAAAAACATAAAGCAAAGTGAAAACTGACCTACCACTACTTTTTCTTTTGTGGGTCAGTAATGTTGGGTATTTTCTTTTTTCTTTTTCTTTCTTTTCTTTTTTTTTTTTTTTGAGACAAGTCTTGCTCTGTGGCCAGGCTGGAGTGGAGTATTGCAATCTCAGCTCACTGCAACCTCTGCCTTCTGGGATCAAGCTATTACCCTGCCTCAGCCTCCCGAGCAGCTGAGACTACAGGGGCGCACCATCATGCCTGGCTAATTTTTTGTGTCTTAGTAGAGACGAGGTTTCACCATGTTGGCCATGACTGTCTGGATCTCCTGATCTCATGATCCGCCCACATTGGCCTCACACACTGCTGGGATTACACGTCACGCCTGGCCATAGGTGGGTGTTTTCATAACTATCTTCGGAAGCAGGAAAAGCATTAAGAATTCTCCAAAATCCCTCATATCTCCACCACCCAGAGATAAGCCCATGACTATCTGGGCCTTTGTCCATGTAGATGGACAGACAGACATATCAAGAATGCAGATTTCTGCTTTTTCACAAAATAGCATTGTCCTTCACCCGCAGTCTTTGCAGCTGCCTTCCCTGCTAATAACGGATTATCGGCATCTTTCTAGAAGAGGAAATGGACAGCCGCGTCATCTGACAGCCCGTAGTATGACTGCTCCCTCTACAATCCCCAACTGTTGAACACGTAGGGTGCTGCCCAGGCTCTGCCAGAACAAGTCCAGGAGGGAGAATGCTCCAGGAGGGATGGCTGCCTGTCTGGTTCACCGCAGCACCCCAGCACTTGTCCCCCGGGCCCGGCAGTGTTTGCTGAGTGATGACAGCAAGCCCAGCCTCCCGGCTCAGCCCTGACCTGGGCTTCTCCGGTATCCCCAGCTCCCTCCTCAGCCCTCGGCCTGCAGCAGCACTCAGGTACCCCAGGTCCCCCCATGCCCACCTGCTTCCTTTTCCTCCCCACTGTCCTGACCTCACCCTCCTTTCCCTCCAGCCCACTGCTCCTCTGCTTGGCTCCACGGCACTAAGAACTGCTCCTTCACAGGCCCTATACCCACCTCCGGCACTGGCTGCCTGCGACCAGGGCAACAGTGGCCACTCCCGTCTCCCTGCATGCTCCACTCACGCACCCCAGGCCAGGCGCCAGCTTCCTCTCTCCACGGATTCTCCAGGGCCGACCCGCCCTCTCCTGTGTCTCCATCAGGCTCTGCACAAGGGCCCTCACCGCTATCACAGCCATTTCATAAACACGTACAAAGTGCCTGCAGGACCCTCACAGGGCTGGCAGGAAATAGGTCAGATGAGGGGCAGCAAAGGTAGGTGCTGAGTGTAGAGTGGTGGGCCTTAGCCTGCCTCACATGAATCTCCATCAGCCCGCAACAGGAACCCCAAGTAAGGAGAAGCTGTGCCTGCAGAGCAGGCAGCCCCCTTACCACCCCAAATTCCAACCAGGTGGCTGCCCCCATAAAGACCCCCAGTGCCCTTACAGCAGGGGTGTCGCTGAGTGCTAGGAGGGGCGGCGGGGACACCCAGGCAAGCAGGCCCAGGACACTAGCCCTGGTTTAGGGGGCCAGGCGAGGCCTCTTCTCAGAGGGAGAGGCCTCAGCTGAGCCCCAGAGAGAGACCAGGGGTTCTCCAGTGGGATAACAGGTTCTTCGAATAGGGCCAAACTGATGAGCGGCTCCAGGAGTGTGAGGAAGCCTCTCACTGCGCTGTTCGGGGCCTTCAGCATCTCTTACCTCGGCCAAGGCCCCAGGTCCCATTACCGGCATCCAGCCAGCTGCCCAAGAGTTTCCTAAATCCCAATCCGCGTCTCTCTCACACACCACAGAGGCACCGGTTAAATATGCTCCCTGGCCTTCTCCAGCTCCCCACCAACGCCCCACCAAACCACTGATTCCTGCTTCCTGGTGCCTGCTGTGTGCCAGTCTCTGCTCGGCACTGGGATACAGCAGTGGGCAAGACAGTCAGTCCCTGCCCTCCTGTGGCTCACCTTCTAGCAGAGAAGACGAACCTTAAGCAATGCCTTTTGCAGAGAATTAAATGCAGCTAGGCAAATGTCAAGGCCATGTGTGGAGTGCTACTGCATCCATAGCAGGGGTCTTGAACCCCGAGGCAGCTTTAAAGCCCTCTGCAGGCCAGCCCCCACCCGCTGCTGCAGCTCTGCCCTGCCAGCCACCCCTCCACATCTCTGTGTACAATGGCCCCGCTAGTACGTCCTCGTTCTGTGCCCATCATCCAGGTGAGAGGATGTCCACACGCCACCTCCTCCACAGAGCATTCCAGAGCTTACCCAGAGTCCACCTGGCTGCATCACCTCCCACTCACCTTTGTGGCTAGTTTTCCATCTCTCTGTTCCCCAGTAAGCTGGAAGTTTCTTGAAGGCAGTTTCTTACCTTTTTCTTATCTCCATATTCCTTCAACACCTCATCAGTATATAACATGCTTAATGCTTGTGCGATTCAAGAAAAACATATCACCTGACTTGGGCCCAAGTCTTGGGCACACCAAATCCTCATCTTTGTTCTCCTTCCAACTCCTTCCTCTGCCCAGGGTTTTCCTCCTAGGAAGGCCACTTCCTCTCACCTCCCACGAGCACGAAGTAGCCTCTGCCCTGGCGAGTCAAAAAGGAGCACAGACGGCTGAGTTCAGCTTGTCCTCTGGAGCTCTTGTGGCCCAGGATGCTGTGAAATGACCTCCACTCTCCAGCTCTGCGGCCACCCCCACACTCAGAGGGCTCCCTTCGGACACCAACCTTCACTGAGCACAGCATGGGCTGCAGGTGCATGTCCTCCCCTGGCCCACCTCCCAGGGCCTGAGTGGGTTCCCGCCCTGCCCTGAAGTCCTCGCCCATGTCCTCCACGCTCTCACTGGCCCCTCGTGCCTCACATTTCTCTGTAAAAATAAACCCAGCCTAACCTACCACCAAATCGTCGCAGGCTCTGCCTTCCCACCCCAGGGAGAAACGAGCGTCCCACCGCAGCTGCCCGCCCCATGAAGGCCACCAGCGCCTTCTCCAGACCTCACTCCCTTCAGTTTCCTGCTCTCCTGGACCTTCCCAGCAAGCAGCGAGAGGCAGCCCCAGGTCAGCCTGAGCAGAGCCCACCTTGAAGGCAGTCCCTTGGCCACCACCCTGCCCACTCTCCCTTCCCTGCTCCCGCCACAGTGAAACTCAGAAGCAGCAAGTGACGTCTGGTCAAGTGCCCACCTCTGGCAGCAGACCACCCCTCCACATCTTCCTCCCAGGCTGGTGGCGTGTGCCACGCCAAACAGACCTCACAAGGCGTCACCTGCATTATCATCCCTGCTCCCTCCTCCACCACCCCACGGAAGCCCACCCAGGGCCAGTGCTCCTCGAATTTGGAGCTTATGGTCCCTGCCTGCACCCCATCCTCCTCCTCTGTGCAGAAGCCAGCCCTCTCCTCTCTCTCATCTGCATGGCCACCCATTTGACCATCCCTGGTCTGAGGGCACTACACCTCATCGCCATGTCCGCCAGGAGCCCACCCCAGCACCTTCCTCCTCGGCACCTCCTCTTAGAAGCTAAGATAGTCCCATGGCCCCATGGCAATCCCTCTCCCTCACGGCCCCCTCATCCCAGGAAATGGCACCAAGCCACACAAGCCAAGAACTGGGGTTCCTTCTGCTCAGATGTACTTTATATAGTAGGGAAAAAGAAGAAGAATCGGGGTTCTTGGCTGCTCGGCTCTCTGTCATAACTCCACTTCCTACCACCCCACTCCGAACCCTCACCCAGGCCACTCTCGCTGTGCCCATCACAGCTACAGCCTCCCAAATATGCCATCTCTCCTTCTGCCCCACCCACCCCACGCCCTTCTCCTGACAAAACCCTCTAGCACCTTCCCATAGAACACTGTCCAAACTCAGCAGAGCCCGTAAGACCCCGGCCAAAAAGACTGGCCCCTCCACCCAACCCTAGCCCTCTGGGCCCTAACCCCAAGCTCCCTCACCCTGGGCCCGGGCCTGAGCTGTCCACAGTGGTTCTTTCTTGTCCTCGGCGTCTCAGCTCACAGAACCTTCTAGAGCAAGTAACTCCCACCCCGCACCCATCAACGCCTTCTCTAATTAACTGCCATGATTTTCTCCACAACCCACCCTGCTACCTAACACTGTCATATCCGGATGCAGTGCAGGCATGAGGAACATGCAGCCACTATGTGTGAAATGAAGGAACCCTCAAGATCAATGATAGGAATGTCATTATGCCCATTTTTCAGATCAGGAGGGCGAGGCTCAGAGAGAAGTCAACCGTCAGGGCCCTCCTACTCCTGGTGAGTAAGCAGCAGCTGCTCGGTCTGAGCTCAGGTGTGCCTGACTCAAGGCAGGGCTCCTGGCCCCCAGGCTCCAAGGAGGCACAAGGTGATGTGGGGCTGAGGCTTTCCAGTCCCGTGTTCTCTTGGCCTCTAAGGCCAAGAGAAAGGTCAGGGGCCCTTGAAAGCTGCGCAGGAGTGTCTAAGGAAGTCTGGGGCAAAACAGTCCCAGAGACCCTCAACCCAGCAGGGACAGAAGGGGCAGAGGAGGGAGAATAGAGGGCCACGCCCCCCCCCACAAACCACAGGTGCAGGTTCCATTGTCAAAACCCATCCAAAGCCTACCTCGCCAGCTTAGGACTAAGCTAGGAGTCCAGAGGGCCCCCTTCACCAAGCACACCTGCAGCAACCACCCGAGATGAACTGTGCCAGGCCCCAGGCTGAGGACTTCACATCTGCTGTCCACTCCTGGCAGTCACCCTGTGACTGTCCCCATTTTGAATGAGGAAGCTGAGGCTCAGAGGCTTCAGTAACTTATAACCTTGCAGCTGGGGCGGGAGACAGCTGGGATTTAAACCCACGAAAGGCTCAACCCAAACTGAAACAGCTCAAGTCTCAGATACTGTGGCCTGAGGGAAGGGGACCTGATGGAGGTCAGTCTTGCAGAGATGGGCCGAACACGTGACATGAAAAGACATATCTCACACAAGTGACAGGTGCAAAACAGAGGCTTTAATCCAAACAGCAATGAGGGTGCAAGGGACAGGGGAGCCAGGAAGGGGTGTCTGGCCCTGGGAGAGAGGTGGGAGCTGGGCCTCTTCTGGGAAACTGTCACTGACCTTTGGGACTCCTGTCCCAGCCTCTGCCTAGACCATCACTGGATCCCAGGCCGAGCCCCTGTGTTGTGCTTCTCAGTGCTCCCCCTTCCCGAAGGGTGTGTGGACCCAGACACAGGAGAGGGGCAGTGGAGAAGGGCAGGCCTGGGGGACGAGCCTATAAGAGCCAGGCCCCAGAAACAGCCCTAGGAGAAACCTCGGCGGTGGCATGTAGCTACAGGGCCCCCCTCTCCCCTCAATGGGCTTGCCCAGCCCCCACTGGGCACATCCTCAGAGCCAAAGCCTGGGCCTGGGAGGCCGTCACTTACCTCACCCTATAAAGGCAATGGACAGTTCAGGGAGGTGGGAGGACAGGGAGTGGGACTGCCACCTTCTAGGCCCACCCACCACCCAGGGGAGCACAGAAGCAGGGCCCAGGGCCCTGGGTGAAGCTTGCAGCAGCACAGAGGTAACAGAAGCAGATGGGCCTAACACTGCCCAGAGGAATCCAGGCTCTCCAGACACAACGGGCCCCAAGCCCCTCCCTGAGTTTCTGCCACCCCCTCCCTGCCAGGGAAAGTTCTGGAAAGACAGGCCTCACCCCATCAGCTGCGCCCTCCCAGGAGACCAGCACCTACCCACAAGGCAGCTTCCATCAGCTAGGCTACCCTTGGGGAGAGGGAGGGATGTGGCTACAGCCAGGAAACCCAGCAAAGCCAAAGGCTGAAGAACAGAAGAGCCAGGAGGAGGCTTGGACACACCGGCCCTCAGGCGCAGAGGGCAGGGTGAAAAGGAGCCTGGGGGGGGGGGCACTGGCCAGGACAGCTAAGGCCACCCCACCCCACCACATGGCTGGCAGCCAGCCTCAGCTTCCAGCCCTGGCATGAACAGCCATCCCAGCATGGCCTGGGAAACTGACGCACCCCTGCGAGGAGCAGCTCCAACCCTTACAAAGGCATCAACTCCGGGAAGCGAAAAGCAATGGAAGCAGCAGGTTATCTCCCCTCCCCTCTCCTCATTGCAGTGCTGCAGAACAGCCCCTGGCCTCAAAACCAGACTGGGCAGGAGCAAAGGGAGAAGAGGCCAGGAACAGGAGAGGGTGGCCCAGTGACCGGGCCCCAGCCCTCTCTTCTGGCCAGTCCAGAACAGGGAAGGTCAGGAAACCAGCTACACTTTGGTCACTTCTCCCAACTTGGGCCCTGAAACCTTATGCTCCAAGCCCCCTCAAGCCCATCTCGCCACCCCACCCCAGTTAACAGCCTCTCATCAAACAGGACGAACAGAGGGAGGGGGTAGGGAGGGGGCCACTGCTGGGGTGGGGAGGCAGGCACAGGAACTGTGGCCTGGGTAGCTCTTCAGCTCGGCCCCTCCTAGCCCGAAGTGACAGGATGGATGGGCAGCAGGCTCCCGAACTTGAAGTGCTGGATCACAGGGAACTTCTCCAGGCACTGAGGAAGGAGCAGTTGAGCAGAGTGGTGAGGGCTGCACCACACCCCTGCCGAGACCCCAAGCTGCTCTCCCAGGTGTCCAGCCCAGGCCCAGGAAGCAGCCCTGCCAGGGGAGCCCCAGGCCTTCCTCCCCCACATCCTTACTCATCCTACCCAAAAACACCTACTCCACAACAGTGAGACCCACGAGAGAAAGAAAGAGAGAGAGAGAAAAGGCAGCCCAACAAGGTAGAAACTGAGAAGAGAGACAGCCAAGTGACATCACTTGGCCCAGAGGGGGAAGTTGAAAACTTGAGGTGAAAAGAACCCTCCAGAACCAGGACCTGGGACCAACCAGCCCAGGCCCCAGTTCTGGAGAAGAGACGTGGGGACATTTGAACATAAGCCTAAGAGGCTGAGGCTGGGCCCCAAGGCCTGTTTTCTCCAGTTTTCAGTTCTCTGGACTGGAAAAGGCATCTTGGCACTTCAGAGTAAGACAATAAGAACCAGCTGACATTGAGTTCCCCCCACCCCTGGGCAATTCCCAGCAGCCTGTGTGGGGGGCAGGGGAAAAGAGCACTGAACAGGGGAATGGCTAAGCAGGGAGGTGGCCCAACTCCCTGAGCCCAGCCCAGCCCAGCCCAGGCCCCTAGCAGAGGAGCAGAGATGAAGAGTGAGCAACAGGGCCTATCACAGCAGCTGGCCTGGCCCACAGGCAGCCGACCCCAGCTTCCAGCTGCAGCTCCTGCCACAGCACCCTACACCCATCACAGCACCCTACACCCACCACACCTGGTCACTAGCTCTCACAGGAGCCACTCTGGGTATGCGAGGGTTGGATCTGCCAAGACTGACGAGGGCCTCCTCCCACACCTCTGGCCACAGAAACAGAGTACGCTAGGCACCTCCCGGCTGGGGTGGAACAAGCCTTATGGCCTCAGAGGGAGTAAGAGCCTCACTCTGTGGCTGTGATCTCAACCTCCAACTAACTAAGAGGGACAAGGGGTGCCATGACTGGCTCAGGTTCCCTCTCCTCAAAACCCAGCTGTGGAACATAGGAGGGAAAGCCGCGGGGGTGATGAGTGGGCCAAAGAGACGCCAGGAGGGCAGGGAAAGAAGGATGGGGACCAAGCTCATGGTGGGTGGGGAGCAGAGACCTGGCCACAGCCAGGATCCTGGGCCTGAGGCAGAGAACGTGGGGAGCAGGCAGCGGGAGGTGGTCCCTGGGCGGGAGGGGGAGTAGCCACAGATCCAGGCCAGAGGCCAAAGCAGCTGCCATGGTGCTTATGTCATCCAGGAAGTGGTCATAAGAGCCCCCCCACCCCCCAGGGTCCTGGAATTCCAGAAGGGGTCAAAGGTCAACCTGCCTCTAGCTCCCATAGGAGAAGCTGCAAGGCAAGAGGGGGGCAGAGGCGGAGGTTCTCTCCATTCTGCCCATAGGACCCCAGAGCCAGCCCCCTCACAGCCGCAGAAGCCAGGAGCTGGGCCAAGGAAGCCGAAGGCTCCAGAGCAGGAGGCGCCCCTAGCCAGGGCATTCTCCCAGCAAGGCCCTCCTATGTACCTGGGTGGAGCAGCAGCCTCAGCCTGTCCCTTCTGACCTTCTAGCCAGAGGTGATTCAAGCAGGGGAAGGGACTCTCTGGGCCCTGACAAGGTCCTTCTGAAGGCGGCACCCACACAGTGATGGCCCACAGGAAAGACAGGCCCCCCTACCACACAAGGCCCCTGAGAGCACTTGGTTCTTCGATCAGAAAGATGGGGACAGATGCAAAGTTACACCCAAATCCTGAGGCCACCTACTGCCAGGCAGGTCAGACTTCTGTGGCAGCCCAAGAGGCTGACTCCCCTCCATCAGCCAGTTCTGACGGGAGACCCAGCCTTCCTACCCACTCCTGGACTGCAATACTGGCAAGCCTTGGAGGTCCTCCCTAGGGCCTAAGAACTGGCCTGAGAAAGCAAGCCCTCTCCCGGGACCTCTGTGCAGGCAACATGCCAGCCCATGGGCCCTTTGGGACCAAGGACTAAGGGCTACTTGGTAGTAATTTGTACTAATTTGTCAATAAGTGCTGAACACTGTGAAGACTTAGTGGTCTTTTTTTTTTCTTTTGAGATGGTGTCTTGCTCCATCGCCCAGGTTGGAGTGCAGTGGCACGATCTCGGCTCACTGCAACCTCCACCTCCCAGATTCAAGTGATTCTCCTGCCTCAGCCTCCTGAGTAGCTGGGATTACAGGCGCATACTACCACGCCCAGCTAATTTTTGTATTTCTAATAGAGATGGTGTTTCCCCATGTTGGTGAAGCTGGTCTCCAATTCCTGACCTCAGGTGATCCACCTGTCTTGGCCTCCCAAAGCACTGGGATTACAGGCGTGAGCCACCGTACTCGGCCAGTGATCTTTTTTTCTGGGGTTGGGGAGAGGGGATGGAGTCTCACTCTGTCGCCCAGGCTGGAGTGCAGTGGCATGATCTCAGCTCACTGCAACCTCCGCCTCCAGGTTCAAGCGATTCTCCCATATCAGCCTCCCAAATAGCTGGGATTACAGGCACGCGCCACTACGCCTGGCTAATTTTTGTATTTTTAGTAGAGACAGGGTTTCACCATGTTGCCCAGGCTGGTCTCAAACTCCTGGCCTCAAGTGATCCGCCCACCTCAGCCTCCCAAAGTGCTGGGATTACAGGCGAAGACTTGGTGATCTTCAAGTCAGTGAGTTCCAGCGAGCCTGTCCCCTTCCCCACACAGCGCCCGCCACACCCAGGGCTAGCATCTCCCATTTTCAGGAAGGCCACTTTGTGATTACTAGAGAGACCCTCATCCTGAGTTGGTGGTCATTTTCAGTGTCCCCCTTGTGTTCGCCACCCTGTGCTCAGCCCCCACAGAGACCCTGAAGGAGTGGACTGTGCAGAGTGGACTGTCCCTGTGTTCCTGCCACCCCATCACGATTTTCAATCTGAATGTGCTCCTCCCTCATCCTCTGTCAGCCTGAAGTTCTTTTGTCTATGAAGGGCAGGTAGGAGAAGGTGACAGGGTCTGTTGCCCTATCCTTTGGGCCTTAGAGCCTGAGTCAAGGGAAGTTTAGAGTCACTTAAGAGGCTTGTAGAGGACAGTACTGTCTTTGGCACACAGGGGATGGGGTTGAGAGGAGGCTGGAGGACGCCATACACCTCCCACATGCTCAGACACCCTGGCGGGGGCAGGGAAACAACAGAGTGAGAGTTCCCCAGCAGCCCCCACTGTAGGACAGGTGGGGGTGGGGTTATCAGGAACATCAGGTCACCAGAGGGCAGTCACCCAGGGCAGAGTTGGAGTGGAGAGCGGGGGGCAGGCAGCTGCAGCCGGAAGGAGCCTCAGAGCCTCGGCAGCTCCAGCCAACGGCCTCTCAGATTAGAGAGGTATGTGGGCTGGAACCTAAACACAGGATGTGAAGTCCAGAGGAAGGGGACCCACAGGGGGAGGGGCGGAAGGGAGAGAGGGCCCAGCCTGCTCAGTTCAAGCCTCGTTAACCCCTTCAGGGCAGCGTGCAGGAAGCCAGGCCAACCGGAAGCATCTGTGCTCCCCAACCCTGCCGGCCTCTGGCACCCTTCCCCATTGTCCTGCCACTGCTGTTGGGATCTAGTAGGCTCTGGGTCCAATGAAGACCTGGAGCAGCCCCTCTGAGAAGAGAAGAGTGGCCAGGAGTCAAGAGATGGTGCCCACAGGACAGTGCCTGAGGCCATGAACTAGTCACCAGGGCCAGTCTGAGGGCAGAAAGATGGGACTTTAGGGACCCATCACTCCAGGTGTGGAACTTCACATCCAGCCCTTTCCTAGCCAAGGTCAAGCAGTTCTAGGATTAGTCTTCCCAAGAAGTGGGAGGAGCTAGCAGAAAGGACAGGGTAGAAATAAAATGTCTCCTCCCACTTGCAAGAGAGAAAAGGCCACCTCCTTGGCTGGGAGAAGAGTGCCAAGAGAGCAGGAGACACCCTCGGCCGCCTCCCAGCAGGGGGAGCTCCAGGAAACCTCAGCTCTCCTTTCCTTGGCATCATCTGATTTGAGAGCAGGGAAAACCATGTGCATCAAAATCTCTGAAGCGGTCAATAAAAATGCCAGTTCCCAGCCTACCCTCAGACTTCCCACCACTCAGCCATCATACATACTAACGTGGAAGGCAGCACTTTGGAGACGCCTCCAAAGGGTAAGACCCTTCCCAGGTATGCCATGGGAGAGACAGACTCAGGCTGCCCGAGCCTCGAGAAGCCTTCAGCCATTTGATGGGAGCAGAGAGGCCCCCACCGCCCCAACTCCCCACGTGGCAGTTCCTTGCCTCAGCCTTCAAGCTCATCAGCACAGAGCTGGGCCTCAGCTTTTCAGGGCTGGGGTAGCCGGTGCTTCTCTGACTGCTCATCCCCCAGATGGGAGATTCTGAGGCCCCAAGTGTCAGAGGGGCTAGCCTAAGATTTAGAGCAAAACGGTGGAGTAGGAGGAAGCAGGAGCCTCAGGCCCCACATCTTTTGCTTTGTTCCCAGCCCAGGACCAAGTGTGGCAGCAGGGACAGGCATGCTGGCCAGCCCCCACTCACCTCGGCCTTATACATGCGGATTAGACCCTGGTTCACTTTGGACCAGGAGGGGACAGCACTGATGTTCCACAGCTGGTTGGAGTGCTCTGCAAATGGGCCAGTCTTCATCTGGAAAAGAGAAGCCACAAGCTGAAGAGGCAGGGGCTGGCTGGGAGCTCATCCCTCCTCCCCTGCAGCAAAGTCACACACACACACTCATGCGCACGTGCACACACACACACACACGCACGCAACGAATGCGCAGACACTTGTGGGGGGCCAAGCTAGGGCATCTGCCTGTGGGGCAGACATACAAATGGGCACATACAAGTGCCAGAGACAGGGCTCCCCCTTGGCCCTCAAGGCCTGCTAGGAAAATAAGACATTCCTTGCACACCCACCCCCCAGTCACCCCTCTTTCTCCCATAGCCAAAAAATAAAAGGGACCTGATTCCTATCGCCCACCCAATCTAGCAGCCTCAGGAAGATAAGATCTCCATCTGAGCCTCTGGTGCAGTTCCCACCGACTCCCCAGGAGGCTCAGAGCACCTCTCCAGCACAGGGGTCTACTCGGGTTCAGATAAACAGCAGCAGCTGGACCCCACACCTACAGGCTTACCCTTTCCCCTCAGGCCCCCTCTTCCCCCTCAGGCTTCCCCTTTCCCCCAGGCCTCCCCACAGGACACCTGGTCTGCTCCTGCACCTGCCACCAGCAGAGCTAGATGAGGAAAGCGTCGATTTGCAGGAGGGTCAAGGTGGGTATGACCAAACCCAGGTATCCAACAGCCCTCTGCATGGCAGGCAGAGTGAAGAAAGAGAGACCCTATGGGAGGCAGGGATGCCTGAAGCAGCAGCCAGCCTGGCCTGGCCAGAAGGTGGGGAAGGAATGGCTGCCACAGTAGCTGTAAGAGACGGGCACAAGGACAGCTCCATTCCTGGTCCTCCCTCTTGCCAGAGTCTGACCCTCCAGGAAGGAAGAGAAAGATCCTGCAGCCAGCAGCATGAAGTTCCCATGACATCAGAAACCACAGAGGGATGTCTGTGTGCCTGAGCCTATCCCCCTGACACCACGAGGCCAGCACATTTGTATTTATTAACCAAGCAGTTCATAATTCCCCCCACACAGCCCCCCCCCAGCTCATGGGCAGCATTTACAGGGGAACAGGGCTCTGTACCCCAAGCCCATGCTGCAGAAGGAAGACTCTACAAAGAGGCTGAGTCTGGCAAAGAAGCAGAGACTTGGAAGGTTCCAGAAACATGCGGGTGTCGGGGGAGGCTGGGTTGTTTGAAGGGGAAAAGATAAGCCGGAAATACTCTCCATATTGGGGCATCAGTTCACCATGAGGGACCTCAGGAGCCCCCACTCTTGAGCTGTGGGCTGCCACCTGGTGACCCAATCCTGGCAAGCCTCTTACTTCTCTAGTAAAGGCAACTGTGACAAAACTTTTAAGATTTAAGTCAAAAAAGCTGTCACTTTATCCCCCTCATCTCCCTCCTCTGGCTCAGGGTCCCAAAGAGCCCATCCAAACACCCAAGTTCGGGAGCAAGGACAACAGGCTCCTCCCTCCCCTCCTCTCCCAGGCTCCATTACAGCCAGGCAAGAGCCCAAGGCACTCGACAGAGGCAAAACCCACCCTGGTCCCTGGGGGCCTTGTCTTGGGCCACTTGCTTCACCCAAAATCGTCCAAGTCTCTCTCCTCCAGGAGGGCAGCCAGGTACCCCCAGCCTACAGGGGCCTCACCTCCGGGGAGCTTTGTTCCAACTGCCGTGTTCAACCGACTCCACCCCCAACCCCTCCCCCTCCCCGCCGTACCCACCCCTTCTCCAGTCCCTGAAGGCTCCTGCCCTGTGCACACTTCCAGGTCTGGGAAAGCTCAGGGAGCTATGGAGCTGTGTAACCAGTTTCACTCTCTGGACACGGCCCTGTGAGCAAGCAACCAGGAGGCACCCTGCCGGCTTTGTCTGCTAGGGGCCTGCCCAGCTAGGGCTCCCAGGCAAAGGCAGGCAGATGGACACAGGCAGACAGAGGCCCTGCCTCCTGGCCAGCCTTGCCCACCAGGGCCACAGAACATATACCCAAAAGGCTGCTGGCAGAACCAGGGCTAAGCCCATGTCCTGGAACTCCAGTGGCCTTGGGCCCCAACCCACAGAAAGGCAAGAGAGGCAGTTTCTTTGGAGGGGCTGTACACTGCCCCTTAGGCCTTCAGTGCTCCAGGGTCTCCCTAAGCCCTTCAGAAGGGGACCCTCTAACTCTGGCAAAGGAAAACAGACAAGGGGGGAAAAAAGGAATCCGGGGCGAGAAGACAAAAAAAAATTAGCTCATTCTAGCCACAAAGGGAGAAGAGAAAGAGCCAGAACGAGCAAGCTAGCTGCAGCCCACAGTGACCCCAGGGGAATTGTGTGAGTCAGAGCAGCCATATTGAGCAGGAAATTACTCACAGACGCTGCGTTCCTGCCTCTCCACTCCCCAGAGAATCGGCCTTTTGTAAATGGCTCCTCTGTCAGTAACTGGGGGGATGGGCAGGGGTGGGGAGGCTCTGCACAGCGCCTTCCTGTCAGCTCCTTCCCTTCCAGCTGAAATCTGATCCCTCCCTTCCCAAAACTCCAAATTTAGAAGCCAGATTGAAACTGAAATTCTTTTCCTGCCTGCCCTGGTCTCTTAAAGGCACCAGGGCTGCATTTCCAGAAGCTGCAGAAGCCCTGCCAGGTGGGGTCCCTCACCTAGGATGTCCATGGGTACATGAGAGCAGAGGGTACCAGGGCAGTCTTGGCATGAGACCCAGGAAGAGCTGCCCAGTTCCATCCCAAGTTCTCGGTGCTATGTTTAATCTCCAGCTGAAAGAGCCCCTGGTGAGCCCAGGGTCTCCAGAGGCAACATCACCTCCTGCTCTGTGCAAGCCTCCAGGTCCCGAGTGAGCGAGGCCAGGCCACTCACCCACTAGAGGCTGCAAATGCTGCTCACTGCTCCGAGGTGGAAGAGGGTGGGCGCTTAGAGAACAGACGTGCTGCAACCAGCAGCTACATGGCAAGATGAGCCCTTGCTGCAGTCACCTCAGCTCCTGGGCACACCCTTCCTAGCGTCCACTGTTGAACACCATGCCCAAGAGCCTAGACCCAAAGTGAAAAAACCAGGCCCTGTGGAGAAGGTGTGGAACAGCCAAAAACTCCAGGCACACCCTCCCCTCCCTGTTCCTTCTGCGGCCTCAAATAAATGTCACCAAACCTTCTCCAAGTTCAGTGTGCCTTTCCTGCCACCTAGTGGCTATTTTGAGATTTTCTCTAGCAGAGGAACTGGGACCCAAACTTTGGGAAAGCTTTTGGGTTTTTATACCAGCATAATCAACCAACCAACTAAAAACACAAAATCTTACCATGGAATCAATTCCTAAAATCCTAGAGGCCAGGCCTGGCCTGCCTCCTAGTTAGAATATCGACAGGGACCCAGGGGCCTGGTCAGCTGCGGGCGGGGGAGCGCAAACAGCTCAACCTTTTAGCCCCATGCCAGAGCTCAGTGTGGAATCTGCACCCTTCTTCCCACCCTGCTCCTCCAGCTTATCCTGAGGTCCCCTAGGCCTCCACAGACCCCTGCATTCCACTCCACAGAGAGCAGCACGTGACTGTCTTTCAAGGCAGCGAGCCAGCTGCCCCCGAGTCCTCCCGACCTTGGGCCTGCCACACTGCTGAGGGCAGCAGATCTCCGGGAATGAAGTGGTGGCCGCCCAGCCGTCAGTCCCGGCTCCATTTGCTGACTTGGAAAAAATGTGTCATTCCCCTCTGGCCTCTGGAGTTTGGCAGAAGCCTGAGCCGAATGTTGACCAGGAAGAGCTTGGAGCCAAGGCTGCTGGTTATAACCCAGCTTCTCCATTTCTTCAGAGGTTCAGAATACACAGCCAGTGTCCACAGGCCTGCTAGGGACCTCACTGAGGCAGCAGACATCCGTGCTGGTGTCAGGAAAGGGACTGAGGAGGGACAGAACCCTCTCCAGATAGCAGAGCTAGGGCACCCTTCAGAAATGGGGGGGTGAGGGTGGCAGGGAGGAGGAAAAGTCCCAACACCTCCCTGAAGACAGGTCCAGAGAGCAGAGGGTCCCTAGCTTTCCCGTGCAGTCACCTGGCAAGTGTGTTTAGATGCAGGTTCCTGGCTCTTGTCCCCTAAGATTCTGATGCAGTAAGCTGGGATGGGGGCCCAGGAATGTGCATTTTAACAAACACCCTAGGAGATCTTGCACAAGCAGTCCAGGGCCCACTGTGAGGAATCCTGCCTTGATGAGATAAGAACTTCCAGTTACAGAGCTCAGCCGCAGGGCTGGCTGTCCAGTGACTGCCACCACAGGCCAGGACTGCACACTCCCACTCCGCACTTCGCTCGGGCTCACATCCTCAGGCATTGAGAGATGTGTCCCTTCAACAGAAAAGCTGTCTGTCTGCACCAGTTCACACTATCTCCTCTAGTGGTTTCATTTCACACATCCACAAGCACATGTTCTACAGAGCCTTGTGAGGCCCCACTGAAAGATGCTGACCGCCCCCCACAAACCTGGCCCTCCCACCCTTTCAGACCTGCTACAGCAGTCACCAAGGCCAGTTAGTGATCAAGTCTTAGACCTCACCTCAATACTCCTGTGGTGTTCAGGAGAAACTGCAAGAGAACTGGGCGAGGAGATCCTGACAGTCAACGGTGGCTGACTCTTTCAGGAGAGGCCCAGTGGTGCTTCCTTTGCAATAACCCACTCTGGCCGGCCCTGCCATTTTGGGCAGCAGCTCTGGCTCTTCTGATCCACTGTGAGGCCGCCAGCCTTGGTTCATCTGAGTCCGGAGGCACCTGTGGGACCCCCCTCACCCCTCCTCCTCACCTCAGTGATAAACAGGATACACTCCAGGAACATGTAGTCCTTGTGGTTCTCATTCACAGCCTTCTCATCCACAAAGTGTCTGGGCTCCAGGTATGGGTGGTCTGGGAAGAGCAAAGCGCCCCATGGTTCAGAACCAGGCCCCACCACTCCCTGGGCAACCCGACTCAGCAGTCACACCCACCCAAGGGCCTCAGTCCTGCCCGTGCTCCCCTCAACACCTGACCTTGAAGGATCAATAAATGGCTTTGTGCGTGTGTATTCTAATGCGCTAAGCTCTAGCGGCATGGCATTGGACGCAAGACTTCAGCCTGCCAAGGTTCAGTTTCCTACCTGAACAGTGGGGACAACAACAGTCCCTCCTCCTAGGGGCCGTGACAATAATTACCACGCCTACAGCACTCAGTATGGTGCCTGGCGCAGTTGCCAGTCAGCAGAGCTGGCCTCATGCTGGCAGACCCTTCGAGGGGGTCACTGAGAAGATTCAGGGAGGTAATGCACCGGAGGCCACAACAAATGGTCATTTATGAATATCATTTTGTAGGCAGTTCATTCTACATCAAAATAGAGATGATCATCCACCCCCATCCTGAAAACCAGCCTCAAGAGCAGGGGAGTCACCCGAGTAGGCCCCTCTGAGCCCCACAGGAAGCAGGCCCACTGCCCAGCACTTGGTGGCTGCTCCCTAATGGGCCCCTTTGCACACAGCTCGATAATAACAGTGGATGACACTGGTCACCGAATCAAAAGGGCCCCTCATTTTCAACATAAAACCCCACAGCTGCTGCCAGGAGCTGGGACGCATTTCATACCAGTCCATTATGCACCAGGCGTGCGCCCTTGCTCCAGCCCATGTCACTTCCCATTATCTTGGCAGAACTTGGCCTCCGCCTCCCCCAGCCCACCACACGGGCTCTCACAGCAGAAGGTTGACAGCAACAGCCTCCCTCAATAGCCAGTCTAATGCCCTGCTTTCCAAGCTGTCACTGTCTGCCCTGGGCAGGAAGAAGGGAGGACGGAAGGCAGGAGGGGCAGGGGAGGGGCACAGAAAGCAGCCTTGGTTGGGGGTGGAGGCAGAGGTGCCCCATTGCAGTACCTATCAGCTGAGAACTGCCCCAGATGAAGGGTAGAAACTGGAAGTCATCCAGACCCCACACTCCCTGGCTGCCGGCTGGCTCCATCCTGTATGTTTTTTGGAGTTTCCGCATAACCTCAAGGTACCTGCACAGGAAGGTAGAGGAAGAAAGGAAAGGTAGCAAAAAGTAAAAAGACACTCTCACCCCTTCAGCCACTGGGAGCACACGAGGCCCCAAATAACCACTGAAGAGTGTAACTGTTCTCAATTTCAATCATGTAGCTTTATTTCCCCCCACAAACACTTAGCCATCTTTTGGCTCAGGAAAGGGATAAAAATCACTGATTAGGAAGCTGGGTTTTGGTACCATCAACTCCTGACAACCTGTAAAACCCTGGGCAGGGCCTCAGCCTCTCCAGCCTCAGTCGGCCTGTCTGAAAGCTGACGCAAGTTCCAGCAGGTTATCTCCTAGGTTCTTCTGGCTGCAACCTTCAATTTTATCAGAGGCTGCATGGCAGCCACCTCTGGAGCGTCAAGCACTGCTCCTGGGCTCCGTCACAGGCCTGCTGCAGCAGCACTGCTAGAAAGGGGCCAGAAATGGGAATCTTAAGGGCTCTTGGTAACTGATCCACATCGGTGCTGCCCAGCGACTGGCTTGGGTGGTGCGGGACAGCAAGTCAGAGCCTGACTACCTGCGTTCAGATGGTGTGAATCCAGTGTGTGACCTCAGTGAAGAGACTGGATGTCTCTGTGCCTCAGTTTCCTCATATGTAAAGTGGAAATAACAGTTACTATTTCACAGGGTTTTTGTAAGAATTAATGAATTATACATAAAATGCTTAGAATTCTTCCTTCACATGGTCAACACCACGCGAGCACTGGCAGGCAGTATGTGACAATTCTTTCACTTGTTTTTACTAGGAGGTTAATTTGAACCTGTTAGGAAAAAGCCTTGGACACTCCATCCACAGCGAGAGCTTGATTAGGACAGGACAAGAGAACCATGAGCCACTCAGGAGAATCCTACAGCACCCCGTTTCCCAGGCTGAGGAGGAAAGAGATGGCCCCTCACACCCCCTCCTCCAGCCCTCTTGTCCTTTCTCTCACCGATTGAACACCTTGAAGACAATAGCTATTTGGTCATCCACCCGGAGCACCCCAATCTTGCAGAGACAGCAGAGGAAGGCAGCAAAAGCTGCCTCATGCCCTGGAGGAGAAAAAACAACCAACATTGACAGTGGTCCAGGTAAAGGACTGGGATTGTTTTGGTCTTCCAGAATCCAAATCATTGATAAGTGCCACTCTGAGGAGGGTCAACATGGAGGCAATGAGACCTCTTCCCCATTCAGAAAGACTTGCTAGGCCCTTTCCTTTCAAGAACTATAATGCCAGTACAGGCTGGGCATGGTGGCTCATGCCTGTAATCCCAGCACTTTGGGAGGCTGAGGCAGGCAGACTGCTTGAGCTCAGGAGTTCAAGATCAGCCTGGCCGACATGGCAAAAGCCTGTCTCTACGAAAAATACAAAATTAGCCAAACATGGTGGCAGGTGCCTGTGGTCTCAACTACTCAGGAGGCTGAGATGGAAGATCACCTAAGCCCAGGAGGTTGACGCTGCAGTGAGCCGTGATAGGGCCACTGCTCTCCAGCCTGGGCAACAGAATGAGAAAAAAAAAAAAAAAAAAAAAAAAAAAAACTACCAGTACTATAATTCTACTCCTAAAAGACCTCGGCTGGACATTTACATTTCATTTTGTAGGTTTAACCCACTCAGCAACTCCACTGTATTTACTGAGCATCTACGACGTAAGAAGTCACTGTCCATGTCACGCACTAGGAAACAGTGACAAGTAAGTCCCTGCCCTCAGAAAGTTTATGATCTATCAGGGACAACAGACATGAAATATATAGTGACTACTATGATTCTAGCTCGGCAGGGTGCTAACTGGAGGCTGTCACAGAAGACCCTGACATAACGGTTCAGGTTTCCCCTAAGGAAGTAACATCTAATCTGAAATCTGAAAGATGAGAGCTAGCAAGGCAAAGGGAGTAAGGGAAGCAAGAAATGCATTCTAGCCAGAAGGAATAGCATGTGCACAGTCCTTGAGGCAAGAAAAAGCTTGATCTGTTTGAGGAACCCTAAGGAGGCCATTATGTCGAAGGCAGTGAGAGCAAGGGAGAATGTGTAACGACATGGGGCTACAAGTCACATGGGCCTTATGGCCATAGGAAAGAGCTCAGACTTTACCCTAAGAGCAATGGGGAGCCGATGCAGGCTTTTATCAGGGAACGCATGATCAGGTTACAGGGTGAAAAGGCACCCTCCCTTCCTCTCCCAGTCATATCAAAGAGGAATGGTCTGCACTGTAGGAACTACTCACTGGACTGTGATTGAATCCCACTGTTCACAGTATCACACATAACCTATCTGGAGGGAGGTGAGAAGAGAATATATCAGAGAATACTTCTGTCCTGTCTCTGGAGAACAAAGACCCCTAGAGGACCTGGCAGCTTGTGAGCTCAGTTTCCTTCCCCTGCCACAGTATCCACTTATGACCAGCCAGGGCCCAGGCTCCCATTGTTCAGGGGTTTACATGCAGCTGGGGCACCAATCCCTGCTGACCTGACCAGTCTTCCCTCTTTGATCTTTTCCCTGCTGGTCTTAGTCGAAGCCCCACCTGGTCCAAGAGGGCCCTTCTCCAGGGCCTGCCTCTGTGGCCAGGGCTCCCTCGTGGATCACATCCCCCAGACAAGGGGAGGGCTAAGCAGTGTTCCCATTTGCCTGCCTCAGGCCAGAAAGGAAAGGTGGGTCCTTACCAAAGTAGGGGTCCTCCTTGGCTACACAGGCCATGTCCTGACCTAGAGAACGCCTCCTTTTTTTATTTCTGAGAGACGGCGGTCTCAGCATAGTGGCTCACACATATAATCTGAGCACTTCGGGAGGCTGAGGTGGGAGAATAGCTTGAACTCAGGAGTTCAAGACCAGCCTGGGCAACACGGCAAAACCACATCTCTATCAAAAATACAAAAATATCAGCCGGGCGCAATGACTGACGCCTGTAATCCCAGTCCCAGCACTTTGGGAGGCCAAGGTGGCTGGATCACCAGAGGTCAGGAGTTTGAGACCAGCATGGCCAACATGGTGAAACCCCGTCTATACTAAAAACACAAAAATTAGCTGGGCATGGTGGCATGTGCCCGTAGTCCCAGCAGGAGAATTGCTTGAACCCAGGAAGCAGAGGTTGCAGTGAGCCGAGATCCCGCCACTGCACTCCAGCCTGGGCGAGAGTGAGACTCTGTTTCAAAAAAAAAAAGTGCCAAGCTGGTGGTGTACGCCTGTAGGTACTGGCAGGTGGGAAGATGCAGAGGTGGGAGGATTGCTTGGGTCCAGGAGTGAGCCAAGATCACATCACTGCACTGCAGCCTAGGTAACAAAGTGAGACCCTGTCTCAAAAAAATAAATATATAAATAAAAATAATTTTAAATACATTTTTAAAAAAGAGATGGGAGTCTTGCTATGTTACCTAGGCTGGTCTTAAACTCCAGAGCTCAGGCAATCCTCTCCCTCAGCCTCCCAAAGTGCTGGGATTACAGGGGCGCCACTGCACCTGTCTACACTTCCCTGTTAAGGTGCCCACACACTCCCTCTCCTCAAAGTCCAAACCCACTTGGCTTACATGGACCACAGATGCAAAGAGCTCAACAGCACAGAGAATGGCTAAGGGACAAGGGGTGCAAGGGAGAGAGCATGCCACAATACTACAAAGGTCACCAAGAAGCGCTCTCATTTCTCACAGCTTCAGGAAGCTGCTGCCTTAACACACAGTAAATGTTCAATTAATTATTATTTTGGGGATGAGGCACTCACAGAGACCATTTTCACAAGAACAGAAAGCAGCGCTGGCGCAAGCACCATGCATGGGGCATCAGCTCCCCCTGGTGGACTACAGCAGAACCGCAGCATCCGGGCCTCCCTGCAAGCCTAGCCGCTTCCCATTCCCACCCACCCCGTGCCCCCACCACAGAAACCACCCCACACCCCACCTGCCCCAATACGCTGCAGGTACTTGGCGAATTCTTGATGGCTCTTGCTTGCTCAGAGGGGCTTGAGACCACCTGAAGCCCCAAAAAAGAAAGCAGTGAAGACAGGTAAGTACAGAGCCCCACAAGCAGCAGGTACCTGTGCCATAGTCAATGCGCGTGGAGTTCCCCACTGACTCCTTTAGGTAAACAGCCACCTCAGGCACAGCAGCTGCCAGATGGGTGGGGACGACTGTGGCCACCAAGTTTTCCGCTTCCTGATAACACAAGAGACACAAAGTGGTGGCAGCACATTAAGCAGCATCCCAGTGGGCTGGTGCCCAGGGGCAGTACCTGACTGGGGACCCAGGCTGCCATGCCAGGCCAGCCTGACTCCCTGTTCTGACCGGCCACAGAAGGAAGGGGAAGGACAGCATTTATTCTCCCACAGCAGAAGACTACCCAGGTGGCTTATCATAGACTGATCCTTCCAGGGCACAGGGGTCTTGGGGCAAGACAGGAGGAATCTGGAAAAAGCCTCAACCCTCCCATCTGGTAACTCATTGGAGTCCCGCCGAGACTCTGGTAGGTCAATTCTGTGATTCCCACACATGCCACCTTCTTCACACCCTCAGGTCAGCTTGTGTCATGTGTCATCAGAAGACATGCAGAAGAATGTTCACAGCAGCATTGTTTAGAGTAGCCAAAAGGTGGAAACACAGCAGAAATGTCCATCAACAGTGAGTTGAATAAATTGTGGTATAGTCATACAACAGAATATTACACAGCAAAGAAAAAGATCTACAGCTATACACAAAAATATGGATGAATCTCAGATATGACATCAGGCAAAAGAAGCCAGACATTTATACAAAGTTCAGAAACATGGGAAAAAAAACAATTTATGGAATAGAAATCAGAAGAATCTGACCAATATCAATTGGGATGGGGAGCACTCCAGCTAGAATGTTCTATTGCTTGATATGAGTGGTGAGTCCATGGGTAAAAAACTTGGCATGAGTGGTGAGTCCATGGGTAAAAAACTTGGCATGAGTGGTGAGTCCATGGGTAAAAAATATGTAAAAATCCATCAAGCTGTACAGCTATAATCTGTTAGCTTTAAGACATAACAAGGTCAGGAGTAGTGGTTCACACCTATAATCCCAACACTTTGGGAGGCCAAGGTGGGCGGATCACTTGAGGCAAGGATTTTGCAACCAGCCTGGCCAACATGATGAACTCTGTCTCTACTAAAAATACAAAAATTAGCCAGGCATGGTGGCGGCTGCTTGTAATCTCAGCTACTCAGGAGGCTGAGGCAGGAGGATTGCTTCAGCCTGGCAGGTGACGGCTGCAGTGAGCTGAGATCATGCCACTGCACTCCAGCCTGAGCGACAGGAAAAAAAAAACAAAAACAAGACCATGTACCATCTTAAGAGTCCAGAGGCAGCCCCAGGCCTCTCTTGGGAATAGCATTTCACTGGGTCCTGAGTCTCCACTCTGCTCCATGTGAAAATATTGGGCCAGAGAAATTAGGACCCAAATTTCCTTAAGTTCAGTTGTAGACAATTGGCATGAGAATCTCCTGGAGAGCTGGTGAAAATCCAGATTCCCAGTCCCTACCCAGACCTGTAGACTCTGCTTTTCTAAGGACAGGGCCTGAGATCCTGCATTTTTATTTTTGTTTGCTTTGAATAGATAATAGCTTGATAAGATTCAAAAATAAAAACATCAGTAGGGGATCAGTTAAATCGACTAGTCCATCCACACCATGTACTATGTACTATGTGGTCAGTTAAATCGACTAGTCCATCCACACCATGGAGTACTATGCGGCTAGCATTCCAAGTGGGCATGCAATGGCTCCATAGCTCACTGCAGCCTCAAACGCCAGAGCTCAAGCCATCCTCCTGCTTCAGCCACCCAAGTAGCTGGGACCAAAGGTGTGCACCATCATTTCTTATTTTTTGCAGAAACAGGGTCTTGCTATGTTGCCCAGCGTACTCAAACTCCTGGGCTCAAGAGATCCCCTACAGATGGGTACATGGGACGTTTCCAATTTGCTATAATACAAACAGTGACTTCATAAACAGCCTTGTGCAGAGGGCTGTATATGCAGAGTAGCATTTCCCAGAAGATGACCAAGCAGAGTTTAAACTCATTTCTAATTTTGCTAAGTGAAACTGCCATTTTAACAAACTCTGGGATTTTTATATACCTAGAAGCGCTATACAATGCAGGCCTTTCCCGAGCTGGTGCCAAAACCACCCTCACTGCCAGCCCAGCCCCTGGCCTGTCCTGTGGCAGCCTCACCTCATCAAGTTTGGCATACCAGGTCCTGTATGCCTTATTCCCAAACCGAGAGGGCTGGTCCACTGGAGGAGTCTCATCAATCCACCTGTCCAGCGTGTTGAGAAGAGCAACTAGTTTCTCAATGGCCTGTGGAGGCAAAATAGAGGGGTCCAAGCCACGTTGACTAGTGACTCCAGCATAGTCACAGAGGCCACACAAATCCACTACTGCCACACAATGACCCCTCAGCATGGCCCCTACTGGCCACTCTCTCCCAACCCTCTTTCTTCCCCACTGTCCTGATTATGAAGGAGGGTCAGGGGAGCATGATGGGCTTTCCAGAGAGGGAAGAGCACCAGGTTGATGGGACAGGGACAGGGTGGCTTCAGCACCTGGTTTCTACAGGCAGCCTACCCATGGGCTGCTGCTATAGACAAGCACAAACTCAACCCTGACGACTTTTTACAAAGACTGTATGGGAGCCTTTTGTTCAGTATCCAATACCTACTCATCATAAAAAAATAGAAGTATAAACAGGAGGAAATGAAAATGACCAGTAATCCTGCCAGCCGGAAATACACTAAACATTTTAACATACCCTTCTGTGTTATCTTCTTAGAGTGTTTTATGTTGTTTAGCACAGTGGGCCTGGATTCAAGCCCCAGCTCAAACACCATTTAGTTGCTGTGAGACCTTGATCAAGTGACTAACTCTGAGCCTCTCAGTTTCTTGATCTAAAGAACACAGTGCCTGGCACAGGGTGACGGTATATATTCATCGCAGGACACATTCTGCTTTGCAGCCTGCTCCTTTTTCTCATGAACCTCATTTCACAGCTGCATATAAACATAATCTTACGATAACCTTTACTAAATGTATAACATTTCTTCGTGCCACTGCATTATAATTTAATTCCTCACTGTTAAATGTTTGGATTATTTCCACCTGTTTCACTACCTATTTCACACACAATGCAATGGTAAATCAGCTTGCAACTCAAATCTTTGTGGAAATGCCAGGTCATCATGTGCAATGCTTGTAGGGCAGCAGGGTTTGAGATCCCATGCCCCCCACACCTTTCCCACAGAAGACAGGGACCCAGAAGTAGAATCGGAGTCAGAGGTGTGGGCAGCATTGGCATATAAAATGTTACTCAATGAAGAAATAGGTGTGGCTGTCTATCCAAACCAAAGGTCAGCTAGAAGGTGCTCCTTCCAGGTATAGCTTGTAGAACAGGCCAGCAGTAGGGCTGGTGGAAAACACAATGCAGAGGCTATCTGCAGTCAGTCAGTCCTGGGAAGAGAGTCCCTGCCAGGAAGTGGATCTTGACTGTGTCTATGGAAACAAATGGTATACGAAGAAACTTACAGAAAATCCTGGCACTGGGTAGGAACCAGCACGGTGATGCCCATGTGAGAAGGTGCACCTGGGAGGGCAAGGCAGACCAGGGCTGCCATGTGAAAGACTCAGCCAAGAGCTATGTATGTACTTGGGGAGAGGCAGGCTTAAGCTAATGAAACAGGCTGGCTGTGCCCCCAGCTGCACATGTGAAACCAGCCCTGAGTGCTGCTCTCTCTCATCTCCCTTTTATTTAGGCTTGAAGCACGGGAGGACAGGAAAAGTAGCCTGTAAGAGGAGAAATTTCCCTTTACACCTGGTTAAGGCAGAGGGACAGGATGGCATAAAGCTGCCTTGCTGAAATGTGAGAGCGCTGCCAGAGCCTGGCTTTGTGAAGAACCAGGAATGGCTGATAAGCACAGGCTAGACCTGACCCATGCAGCAACAGGGGCTTACAATGGATGGCACAGTCATTTTGGCCCCAGAAAGCACCAGTCAGCCCCAGATTCCCTAGGGATCTCAGTCATAGGCAAAGCACTGAAGGGGAGAGAGAAGGCGAGGGTCACAGGAGCCAGGGCCCAGCTGCTAGCTCAACTGGGCCAATGAATAATTCAAAGGCTCCCAGCTCCTCTTCTGGAGAGGGCTTTTTGAATGTGGGGGCTGCCTCTATTGTGTGGTGTGCTGGGAGAGAAGGGCTGGAAGAAAGGGAACTGTGGATGGAACCCCTCTGAGGCACAAAGAACAACTCCAGCTTTCTCATTCTCCCTAGGCCAGTGCTTCCTTTCTGGATTTCAGGGACCAGTAAAATCTTCCCTAAAATTTCACTGGCCATTTTTTAATTTAGCCCCCTTGTACGTTTAAAAAAAGCAAACAGAACAGCAACAAAAATAAACCTATCACATTTAATTTGCAAAAATGGAAAATCTTAACACCCATAAGAGGAGGAAAGGCATCATTTAATATAAGAGCTAGCTGGCCGGGCACAGTGGCTCACACCTATAATTTCAACACTTTGGGAGGCCAAGGCGGGCAAATCACTCAAGTTTGGGAGTTCGAGACCAGCCTGACCAACATGGTGAAACCCTATCTCTACTAACAATACAAAATTAGCCTGGCGTAGTGGCACATGCCTGTAATCCCAGCTACTCGGGAGCTCAGGAGGCTGAGGCAGAAGTGTCGCTTGAACCCGGGAGGCGGAGGTTGTGGTGAGCCAAGATCACACCATTGCACTCCAGCCTGGGCAATAAGAGCAAAAAGAGCAAAACTCCATCTCAAAAAATTAAATAAATAAATAAAAATAAGCTAGACTTTTTTTTTTCCCCCAGATGGAGTCTAACACTCTTGCCCGGGCCGCAGTGCAGTGGCGTAATCTCAGCTCACAGCAACCTCTGCCTCCCACGTTCCAGCGATTCTCCTGCCTCAGCCTGGCAAGTAGGTGGGATTACAGGCACCTACCATCACACCCAGCTATTTTCTTGTATTTTTAGTAGAGACAGGGTTTCACCATGTTGGCCAAGCTGGTCTCGAACTCCTGACCACATGATTTACCAGCCTTAACCTCCCAAAGTGCTGGGATTACAGGAGTGAGCCACCGTGCCCAGCCAAGAGCTAGCTTTCTATGCAACAACATTATTGAAAATTAGAACTGACTAATGCCTAATGGTAACAATAGCTAATAATAAAAGTATTTATTTAGTATCTGTTAGGCACTATGCAAAAGAAAACCCTACTTGTGGAATCTCAGTGAATCTTCCCCAAGGGGCCATGAGTAGGTCTGCTAACTCTTACCATTCTACAGATGAGGAAACAGAGGGTCAAAAATGACAAGGTCACTGGTTCACAAGTGATTAAACTAGCCAGCCTAATTCCAGAACCCAAATGTGTAACCACACTGCAATCCTGCCAAAGAACAGCTCTTGAGCTAAGACAATACCTGGGCCAGGCATGATGGTTCATGCCTGTAATCCCAACACTTTGGGAGGCCAAGGCAGGTGGATCACCTGAGGTAGGGGGTTTGAGACCAGCCTGGCCAACATGGTGAAACCCTATCCCTATTAAAAATACAAAAAGTAGCCAGGTGTGGTGGCAGGCACTTGTAATCCCAGCTATTCAGGAGGCTGAGGCAGGAGAATCACTTGAGCCTGGGAGGCAGAGGTTGCAGTGAGCCGAGATCATGCCATTGCACTCCAGCCTGGGTGACAAGAGTGAGACTTCATCTCAAAAAAAAAAAGACAATACCTGACTGGTGTGGACAGCTACCAACAAAGCCATGGGCAATTAGGGAACTTGGCAGCTAAGGATTTGCTGGGGTAATTACAATCTTCCCCTTTAATTAGCCTTCCTCCACGACATTCCTGGCCCACTGAGCACAGCTGAGCATCCCTCACCACAGGCTCGAGGAGGAAGCCCCTCTTTCCCCAGCCATCCTGCACCAAAACCCTCATTCCCAGATCACTGAGTGAGCCCAAGAGGAACCCAAAAAACCACTGATGGGCATGGCTCCCAAGGGAAGGCTATCTACCAGAAGCACAGGCCTGGTTCTCCTGAAGTGGACAGAACAGGACCTAGGCCACCCAGCAGCCAGACAGGCCCAGGAACAGGCAGCTCCACCAGTAACCAGGTATAAGGGCGAAGCAGGCAATGTTAGTCTTGGGGCAGGTGGAGAAACTGGGCCAGGGCAGAGCCACACATTACCCAACAAGCCCAAGGCTGTGGCCAGAGAGCTGGGTGGGCCAAGGTACTGAGAGAGACTCTTCAGGACCTGACGTCTGAGATAAGAGACTCAAGGTGGCTCTGGACCAACTGGGACACAAACCCAAGAGGCTACTGGACATCTAGGTCCTAGCCCTGGTAGACAGCATCTAGCAGCAGCAAATAGCCGGTAAGGCCACACCTTCCCATCAGTATCTGCCTCCCCGCAGCTCTTGCCCTCCCTACACAAACAAAACTATCTCTGAAACAACATCCAAAAAGCACCCACTAGGCCGTGTGAACCCAAACACAAAAAAATGAATGTGCCCTTTGACTCAGCATTTCCACATCTAAGAATGAATCCTTCAGAAACAAGGCCCAGAGATCTATGTGCAGGGATGTTCCGAGGAGCAATGTTCAGGGAGACAACCTAAAAGTCTGAAGTTAGGGGCTGTTTAAATAAATGAGAGCCTGAGCTCGGTGGTTCACACTTGTCACCCCAGCACTTGGGGAGAACAAGGCAAGAGGATTACTTGAGCCCAGGAGAGACCAGCCTGAGCAACATAATGAGACCCTGTCACTGTATTTTTTTTTAAAAAGGCCGGGCATGGTGGCTCACGCCTGTAATCCCAACACCTTAAGAGGCTGAAGAGGGTGGATCATAAGGTCAAGAGATCAAGACCATCCTGGCCAACATGGTGAAACCCCATCTCTACTAATAATACAAAAATTAACTGGACGTGGTGGCGTGTGCCTGTAATCCCAGCTACTCAGGAGGCTGAGGCAAGAGAATTGCTTGAAACTGGGACGCAGAGGTTGCAGTGAGCCAAGATCTCGCCATTGCATTCCAGCCTGGCAACAAAGCGAGACCCTGTCTCAAAAAAACAAAAAAAAAACATAAACAAAAAACATTAAATGATTAAGTAAATGAAGGCAGAGCTCACTGCAGGAGAAGCACTCTTGATCTCCTGGATGTGCGCTGTCAGTAAGGGGCTGCCAGACGGAGAGGCCAGCTCTACTGTGAATGTCATACACATGTCTATTATTGATCTCTCCAGTGAGGACGTTTACTTTTTTGTAATCTTTTTTAATTTCAAAAGTTATCTAAAACACCAATTACCAAAAATACTAGCTATAAAACAGCGTATTTACCTTGGTCTCAATTTTATAAATATCCATCTATTCACAGATTTTAAAAATTAGAAATATAGACACAAAAATGTGAAGTGCACACGTACTTAGGCAATCTTATTTTCTGCACTGGCCCTAGGGTGGGCACTGAGCCCACGGGACACTGGAGCTATTTTTGGAAAGGCTGCTGCTGCAGCAGCTCCTCCTGGGCCTACCTCAGAGACTTTGTACTCGAAGGTCAGCTTCTTCCCCTTCACACCTTCGTTGAGGGTAAGGATGAACCCGATGTAGTCAGCATATGCCTACCAAACAGAGAGAATGGGGATGGGGAGAGGGGTGGCAGGCCCCACCACCACCACCTGCCCCCAGTTCTACCACGTTACCAAAAAGCTCTAGCTTTCTACTTCTCCTGCTCCTGGCTCCCAGCCCAGTAGCAGGAGAAGTAGAAAGATAAGGACAAATACCCAACCCTTACCCTCCAGAAAAGCTGGCAAGCCGGTGACCACAGACAGTAACACACTCATCTCTAGCCAGAGTGAACCAAGTACTCACTATTGCTGCCAGTCTATGAGGTAGACACTGCTGTCACCATTTTACAGATAGGGAAACCATAATTTCAAGAAAAGTGATCTGCCCAAGGTCTCCCAAGAGCAAGATCTCATTAGACATGGAGCTAGGACCAGCCAGCCTAACTTCAAAGCTGAGTGGGCACATGCTTGTCCATTATGCTCCACCGCTAGGAGTTCCAGGAGTACCACCAAAGATCTCGCCCCCAGTAATCAGCCACAGGCAGGCCAGGCTGTCTAGCTGCAGTGCAGATGCCTGCCACAGACAGATCTCCCCAAACACCCATCTCAGCTTCCAAGTGGACACTCTCTTCCCTGCTGGGCTGAAGCTACACCCAACACAGGGATAAGAATGCATTGAGGACCAGGCGCTATTGCTCACGTCTGTGATCCCAGCACTTTGGGAAGCCAAGGCAGGAGGATCACTTGAGCCTAGGTGAGACCAGCCTGGGCAACATAGTGAGACCCCATCTCTACAAAAATTAAAGTTTCCCGGGCATGGTGATATATGCCTGTGGTCCCAGCTACTCAGGTGGCTGAGGTGGCAGGATAGCTTGAGCCCAGGACATGAAGGCTGTAGTGACTATGATCCTATCACTGCACTCCAGCCTGGGGAAAAGAGTGAGACCCTGTCTCAAAAAAAAAATAAAAATAAAAAAAGGCTGGCACGGTGGCTCATGCCTGTAATCCCAGCACTTTGGGAGGCCGAGGCAGGTGGATCACGAGGTCAGGAGTTCAAGACCAACTGGCCAACATGGTGAATCCCCATCTCTACTAAAAAATACAAAAATTAGCTGGGCATGGTGGCTCGTGCCTGTAATCCCAGCTACTTGCGAGGCTGAGGTAGGAGAATTGCTTGAACCGGGACCTGGGAGGCAGAGGTTGCAGTGAGCTGAGATCATGCCACTGCACTCCAGCCTGGGCTACAGAGAGAGGCTCCATCTCAAAAAATAATAATAATAATAATAAATAAATAATAAAAATAAAATTTAAAAAATAGCACTGAGGTGCAGGCCCCTGAGAGGCAGTTGCTGGGAACAAGTGACGCCTGTTTGGTTTTGTTTCTTCTTCATCCATTTTTCCTCTCATTTCCTTCCTTTCTCCTTATCCAAGCCTTATGGATGCCGAGGTAACCACAGTAAGCACTGAGACAGGCCCTGTTATCTAGAAGGAAGCATTCCTATACCAGGATCCTCCTGTCAGCCACGGAATGACTGCCAGCAGGCCAGGCCTCTCCAAAGCAACTCTCCCAGGCCAGGGCAAGTCTGAGCCCCTGTCCCAAAGGCAGCTACGCTAGAACCCATGGATTTAGACAAAGAAGCAGTTCTCAACTACAACAATCTGGTGCCCAGAGAAGATCTGACAACACCTGGAGACAATGCTGGTTGTGACAAGTGGGGAAAGGTGTGCTGCTAACATCTAGTGGGTAGAGGCCAGAGATATTACTAAATGTCCTACGTGGCACAGGCCAGCCCCCTATGATGAAGAATTATCTGCCCCCAAATGTCCATAGTCCTGACATTGAGGAATTCTGAGGTAAAGCAAAGTTCTTGTAAATCAAGATGATACAAGAACTGCAACCATGTCCTTTAAGCGGCTGAAGGGACCAAGCTTCCCCCTAGGCTGAAGGGACTGTTGATCCTAGTGAAGACTCAGAAAAGACATGATAAGCATTTCCAAACACTTAGAGGGCAGACTTGTGAAAGAGGAACCAGACAGGCTTAGATGGCCCCAAGCCCCAGCAAGCACAAGGCATGGAAGCTGTGGGGTGTGGGTCTCCTGGAGAATCTGCCCGGCATGCGAGGACCCCTGTGCCCAGCCCTCTGTATGAGCAATACTCTCCAGCCCAGCTCACCAGACTGGGAGCAGAAGGCTGACTAGAACTGGCCCAGAGGCCTTCCCTGAGAAATTGAAATTGGCTTTCTTTTTCTCAGTTTTTCTTTCCACAGCCTGTACCAGAAGCCTGAGGAGTACAAGTGGTTATCTCCTGTCCATCATTTGGGCTGAGCAGCAGAGAAAGCCAGTCTGTGCCCAGTACTCTGGGTCCTAGCTCCTAGGTATTTGCAGGCTTAGCCACATCACTAGCTGAAGTTTCCATGAGATAGCCTCTTCTCCCCTTGAGGCACTGGCCCACACTTGCTGTTACTTGCAGCCTAGAATCAAAGTGACTCACTCCATCATTTCGAACTCATGTTCAGCCAATGCAGCAACACTTAATAAGGGGCAACGGCTTATGAGAACCAGGAGCGGAATGCTCTCGGGCTACCCTGGTGCCAGCCTGATAAAGAACGCAACCTTCCTGATAAAGCATGTCTGAGTACTGCCTCTGAAGGGAAGAGACAGCCAGCTCCCCTGTCACCTTGCTCCCTAGCTTCTGAAAACTCAGGCTCCGAAAGCAAGAAGGGCCAGGAACTCACTGCCTGTCAGGCCAGGAAAACCACTGTCTTTGAAAAGCCCAAGTTTCTCACCGCAGTTCCAACCCAAAAGTGCAGACACCACTGGTACCTGAGAACGCTTCCATTTGCCCATGTCTGGAACTGTGTGGATCTCCTTTTTTGGAATGATGAAGTTCTGAGTGGCTGGAGGGGCCTCCTCCAAAGAATCTTGACAAAGAAAATGAAAAAGCAAATAGGTAAATAGAATCCTCCCCTACAACACACAAACGCTCTTTTTTTTTTTTTTTAATTAAGACGGAGTTTTGCTCTTGTTGCCCAGGCTGGAGTACAGTAGCGTGATTTTGGCTGACTGCAACCTCCACCTCACAGATTCAAGTGATTCTCCTGCCTCAGCCTCCTGGGTAATTGGGATTACAGACATGCATCACCAAGCCCAGCTAATTTTTGCATTTTTAGTAAAGACGGGGTTTCACCATGTTGGCCAGGCTGGTCTCAAACTCCCCACCTCAGGTGATCCATCTGCCTCAGCCTCCGAAAGTACTGGGATTACAGGCGTGAGCCACTACACCTGTCCTCTCTTTCACTTTCTTTTTTTTTTTAATAAAGATGGGGTTTCACCATGTTGGTCAGGCTGGTCTTGAACTCCCAACCTCAGGTGATCCACCTGCCTTGGCCTCCAAAGTGCTTGGATTACAGGCGTGAGCCACCACGCCCGGACTTTTTGGGTTTTTTTCCTTGGGCGACAGAGATGGAATCTCGCTCTGTCACACAAGCTGGAGTGCAGTGGTGTGATCTCGGCTCACTGCAACCTCCACCTCCCAGATTCAAGTGATTCTCCTGCCTCAGCCTCCTGAGTAGCTGGGATTATAGGCACGCACCACCATGCCCAGCTAATTTTTTTGTATTTTTAGTAGAGACGGGGTTTCACCATGTTGACCAGGATGGTCTCGATCTCTTGACCTCGTGATCCACCCACCTCGGCCTCCCAAAGTGCTGGGATTACAGGCTTGAGCCACCGCGCCCGGCCTTCTCTCACTTTTAAACCAGGACTCCAACACCTGAGCCCTAGCATAAACCAGACCCATACTTCCGGGATGCAGTAATGCCTTGTTAAGCTAAACCCACCAGCCTCCTGCCTGCCCTTCCACAGTCTGGGGAGGAAAGAGAAGGGCGATACTGACAATCCCTTCAATAACCATACCCTCCCTTCCTTCTCCCCACCAGGGCAGGATGGTTAGAAAAATAAAACCAAGTTGATGTTTTAGACATACAGAGGCAATTCACAGAAGAAAAACACTAATTGCAACAAACATTTGGAATAAACTGGCAACCTCCTGAATAAGCATAGACATGTAAATTACATGTGATTTCTCTTCCTGGATAACGTTGGCAAATTAAAAACATCAACTAGTCATAGCAGCTCATACCTAATCCCAGTTTTGGAAGGCCGAAGCAGGCAGATCACTCGAGGCTAGGGGTTCAAGACCAGCCTGGCCAACTTGGCAAAACCCCATCTTTACAAAAAAATTAAAAATTAGCTGGCCAGGGTTGCCGTGCACCTATAGTCCCAGCTTGAGAGACTGACGCAGGAGGATCACCTGAGCCCAGGAAGCAGAGGATGCAGTGAACTGAGATCACACCACTGCACTCCAGCCTGGATGACAGAGCAAGACTCTGTCTCAAAAAAAAAAAAAAAAAAAACAAAAGACATCTGACATTGATTCCAAGAAGAGGAAACAAAAACTCCTCCTCTGTGCGTGGGAAGGTTAGTTGGTAGGACCTGCTAAGGGGGCAACTCAGCACCATCTTTTGAATTAAAAGACTGGATATATACAACGAGTCAACAGTTCTACTTATAGGAATCTATCCTTCAGATATGTTCACGGAAACACACAAAAAGATACACAAAGGTGCTTAATGCATCAAAAAAAAAAAAGAAAAAAGGGTGGACACAGTGGCTCACACCTGTAATCCCAGCACTTTTGGGAGGCCCAGGCAGGAGGATAACTTGAGCCCAGGAGTTTGACACCAACCTGGGCAACATAGCAAGACCCCATCTCTGCTATTTTTTTTTTTTTTTTTTTTTTTTTGAGATGGAGCCTCGCTCTGTAGCCCAAACTGGAGTGCAGTGGCGTGATCTCAGCTCACTGCAACTTCCGCCTCCTGGGTCCTGGTTCAAGTAATTCTCCTACCTCAGCCTCCCAAGTAGCTGGGATCACAAGCACAAGCCATCATGCCCAGCTAATTTTTGTATTTTTTAGTAGAGACAGGGTTTCATCATGTTGGCCAGTCTGGTCTTGAACTCCTGACCTCGTGATCCACCTGCCTCAGCCTCCCAAAGTGCTGGGATTACAGGCGTGAGCCACCACGCCTGGCCTCCATCTCATTTTTTTAAAAATTTTTTTAGGCTGGCTGTGGTGGCTCGTGCCTATAATCCCAGCACTTCGGGAGGCTGAGGTGGGTGAATTATACCTGAGGTCGGGATTTTGAGACCAGCCTGACCAACACAGTGAAACACCATCTCTCCTAAAAGTACAGAATTAGCCAGGTATGGAGTGCATGCCTGTAATCCCAGCTACTTGGGAGGCTAAGGCAAGAGAACTGCTTGAACCCAGGAGGCAGAGGTTGCAGTGAGCCAAGATCGTGCCATCACACTCCAGCCTAGGCAACAAGAGTAAAACACTGTCTTAAAAAAATTTTTTTAATTACAAATAACCCAAAGAGGCTGGGCGTTGTGGTGGCTCATGCCTATAATCCCAAAACTTTGGGAGGACAAGGCAGGAGGATCACAATGTCAGGAGTTCAAGACCAGTCTGGCCAACATGCTGAAACCCCGTCTCTACTAAAAATACAAAAATTAGCCAGGCATGGTGGTGGGTGCCTGTAATCTCAGCTACTCAGGAGGCTGAGGCAAGAGAAGTGCTTGAACCCGGGAAGCAGAGGTTGGAGTTAACCGAGATTACACCATTGTATTCCAGCTCGGGCGACAGAGCAAGACTCCGTCTTGAGGGGGAAAAAAAACCCAAATACCAGTTGATAAGACAATGGGTAATAATGATATGCCCAGGCCAGGCACTGTGACTCATACCTGTAATCCCAGTACTTTGGGAGGCCGAGGCAGGTGGATCATTTGAGGTCAGGAGTTCCAGACCAGCCTGGCCAACACGGTGAAACCCCATCTCTACTAAAAAATACAAAAATTAGCCAGGCATGATGGCACACACCTGTAATCCCAGCTACTTGGGAGGCTGAGGCAGGAGAATCACTTAAACTAGGGAGGTGGAGGTTGCAATGAGCTGATATTGTTCCACGGCACTCCAGCCTGGGAGACATCACACCACTGCACTCCAGCCTGGGCAACACAGCAAGACTCTGTCTCAAAAAATAAAAAAAATATGCCCACATAATAAATATTTTCATAGCTTATACAAAGAATAAAATCTAGGCCAGGCACAGTGGCTTACACATGTAATTCCAGAACTTTGGGAGGCCCAGGTGGGAGGATCACTTGAGCCCAGGAGTTCAAGACCAGCCCAGGCAACACAGAGAGACCCCCATCTCTACAAATAATTTAAAAATTAGCCAGGCGTGGTGGCTCACACCTGTTATCTCAGCACTTTGGGAGGCCAAGGCAGGCAGATCACCTGAGGTCAGGAATTCAAGACCAGCCTGGCCAACATGGCAAAACTCTGTCTCTACTAAAAATAACAAAATTAGCTGGGCGTGGTAGCTGGCATCTGTAATCCCATCTACTCAGGAGGCTGAGGCAGGGAGAATGGCTTGAACCCGGGAGGCAGAGGTTGCAGTGAGCCATCATCACTGTACTCTAGCCCAGGTGACAGAGCAGACTCGTGTCACAAAAAAAAAATTGGCCGAACATGGTGGTGCGTGCCTATAGCTAGTTGGAGGCTGAGGAGCAAGAATCACTTGAACCCAGGAGGCAGAGGTTGCAGTGAGCTGAGATGGTACCAGTGTACTCTAGCCTGGGGAACAGAGTGAGACTCCATCTCAGGGAAAAAAAAAATTAGCTGGGTGTGGTGGCACATGCCTGTGGTCTCATCTACTCAGGAGGCTGGGGTAGGAGGATCACCCGAGCCCAGGAGGTCAAAGCCACAATGAGCCGTGATCATGGCATTGCACTCTAACCGTGGCAACAGAGTGAGTGCCTGTCTCAAAAAATAATAATAATAAAAAAATAAAGAATGTGGCCAGGCACGGTGTGGCTCACACCTATAATCTTGGCACTTTAGGGGGCCTAGGTGGGTGGATTGCCTGAGCTCAGGAGTTCAGACCAGCCTGGGCAATGTGGCAAAACCTTGTCTCTACTGAAAATACAAAAAATTGGCCGGGATGGTGGCACACACCTGTAATCCCAGCTACTCAGGAGGCTGAGGCAGGATAATCGCTTGAACCCAGGAGGCAGAGGTTGCAGTGTGCCATCCACTCCAGCCTGGGCAACAGAATGAGGCTGTCTCAAAAAAATAAATAATGAATGAATGAAATCTATACTGCTGACATAAGAAACACAGCCTAGATTTAAAAAAAAAAAAAAGTGAAGAAAGAAAACTGCACTATAATATATAGTAAAATCCCATTCTTACGAAACGGGAACTATCCACACCAACATAAATCACACATACACATATTAGTATAGTCATGGGCTACATAACAATGTTTCAGTCAGTCAGCAACAGACTGAGCCTACGATGATGGCCCCATAGATTTTAATGGAGTGTATATAGAAACCTGGTATGTGGCACTTGATGTTGGCACTGCAGATCAAGTAGGGGAAAGGACTGATGTTCAGTAACAGTGCTGGGACATTTGGTTTTTCCTATGAAAAATATATATATATAAATAAATTTTAAAATATATACTATCTAGGTTTGTGCAAGTACACTCTATGATGTCCCCACAATGAGGAAATCACCTAATGTCACATTCATCAGAATGCGTCCCTGTTGTTAAGTGATGCATGACTAGGGCCGGGCGCGGTGGCTCAAGCCTGTAATCCCAGCACTTTGGGAGGCTGAGGCGGGTGGATCACGAGGTCAAGAGATCGAGACCATCCTGGTCAACATGGTGAAACCCCGTCTCTA